AACATTAATTTATTTTATAATTAATTTTTTTTTACCTGATCAGCCAGCTTCTGGTTAGTTGACATCCCCCATACACGTGGTTTCCTGCCCTCTTTGTAGTGAAATGTTGAGTATTGTTTTGATGCAAAAATGACTAAGTCTAGGGACTAGCTGTTAGTTGTTGTACACCGCCATTTAACATTAACGGAATGATACCAATGAAAGAGTTCAAGTAGTTGCATATCATATTTTGGGTCTCTCTAGGTTTCATATCTGTAAAACAAGCACTACTACCGCTTCAGACTTTCTATTAGTCTGAGCTAGATACCATATTCATACCATAAATGAAGGCTTGATATAAATTATACATTAGTGAACTTAGTATGCTTATTGGACAGGATTTTAGAATGAATTATTGCAAGGATGTTTCCACAATACTATCAAATAGAAGTATTACCCACAAAGGACAAGGAAGTTTTCAATTATGCCAAATTTTTGATTTGATGATAGCTATAGGAGACATTTTCTCACAATAGCCTTGTGAACAAGATAGTGTGGAATGTTAATAAATTAAGTTGGTTTATAAATATTCCAATAACTATAGCCAAATACCAAAGATTCACAAATCATTGATAATTGAGAGGACTTCACCAGTGGGTCTAATACCTCTAGTCCGTTTAACATATCTCCTAACGAATGGGATGAAAGTGCAGAGAGCATGTGCGCGATTCTGAAAATAGCCTCTACAGAAGATCGAAAGGAGATTGTTAGTCCTTTCCTATACTGAAATGAAATGTCTTAGAAGAAGAATAGGTGTATAATAAGGATCAAATACCATCTGTGCTAACTCAAAAATAAGGAAATGGTTTAGGAGTATTATGTATGAAATCTTAGGGATTTAAGTTCAACTAGTAGCAGTCTAATTTAACAAATGTCAGAATAGTTAAACTGAGACAGCATTACAAAGGAATATTATACCCAAAGGTAGGATGGCAAGGTTTCTGTTACACTCTCAGCAAGGCAGACACCACCTGGAAAAGTGTTCATTTTGGAAGTCACACTTTAAAGAGGGCCTTTGGAAAACAGGAGTATTTTTTAAAGGGAAAACAAGATTGTGAGGTTAGTTCAGTTCAATTAACATCGATTCGCTGCTGACTAAGGATCAGAAACTGATACACATGGTAAATATAACACTAAGGCAAGGGCCCTGTTCTTGAGTTTGAGGTCCAGTAGAGGGAGACAGGCTTCTTAACACAATACTTAGAGCACAATTTAATTTCTGCACAATAGGCGTTTGAAGCAAAATAAAATTTAGCCCAGATTGTTGGAGGCCAGTGAAGGCCTTTGGGGAAAATAACACCTAAAAGGAGTCCTGAAGGACACCTAAAAGAAGTAGTATTTAGCCAAGAAAGGCTGGGAAGGAAATCTTGCCCACAAGAAATCAATGAAAGGATTTAGAAAAGTTTATCCTGGAGAAACTACAGTATGTAGCTTTAAATATTTGAACATGTGATGAGAGGAATTGAATTTGTTTCTTTGTGGCTCCTGAGATAAGACAAGTGGAAGCAAATTTCAGTTCGGTATATAAAAATTCATTTATTTAGTGAAACCCCACATTAAAGCATCCCAACATAATGCAAATTCAAATATAACATGATCAGTTGTTGGTTCGTCTCATAGCAGGCTCACATGATCATTTCATTAACTCATAACAACATGATTCTACCTTTTTACAGGGTTATTTTGAATCCTACTCACACACTAAAATCATGTCACAATGCTGTATCAATTAGAGTTGTCCAAATAAGAAGCTGCTGCACTGGGAATGGGACACTTTATCATAGTATGTTTTCAAGTATGGGTTAGATGATAATATGTTGGGAATGCTGTAGAAGAGATGATTAAATTTAGGTTGGAGATGCCTTCCAAGACACCTTCCAGCTCTGAGATCCTGTAGCCCTCAAAAGAAACTTGTTTCGTGAATAAAGGCCGTGACGATGAACAAATTAATAAATTGTGGTGTTATACCACATAAAGCTTATGTTTCTTATTAAAATTGGCAGAACTTGTCAATTGGTATGAAATGTAACACTATTCAAATCTACTTTCATTTCCTAATGGTTACAAATACCCTTAAATCAAACCAAAGCCTCAAACTTAAAGCAATTATTTACATTTCAAGCTAGTACTCAAAACCTACATGTCTGGCTCCTCCCCTCTACCAACTATTCATTTTAATGATCAAGAGAAATTTTACACAATGTTGCTGGAAATTGAGAAGGGTACTTAGCAACATATATGAAAGCTTCAGAATTCTCAGCAGCAGACATTACAGATGAAAACAGAGGAAAGGTAAGGCAAAGTAGGCTTACCATTCATTTTCCATGGAAAATGTGCCATCTGGGAGACAGGGTCTTCCAGGAGTTAGAATCAGCTCTAGGCCTGCTCAGAGAATATTAGCCTGCTGATTGGGATGATAGGATGATTGCACTGGGTTAAGAAGGGGCCACTGCCTCAGTGGGCTTTAGGCTAATAGCAACAGACATTCATACAAAGGGAAATATAAAGTCAAAGGAAAATCCATAGCTATATTTCTATTATTGAACCAGAAAGAGTTAAATTGGACCTGAATCACTGCAAACCACTTACAGTTTTCATTTTCCCTATTTAGTATAGATGTATATATTGCTCTGCAGAAATTATTAATATACTTAAATGGAAGGTCTTGCTTCAGGCCCAGAGCCACTAATTACTGCTAAAACAATATCTGTTGAGGAAACCAGCTTGTCTTATAGGATTTCTCAAATTTTGGATTCGGCTGACTGCATCCCCATGCTGTCATTTAACATGTTCTTTTGTAACCCGTAATGCCTGTAAACTGGTAGGTAGGTAAATCAGGTTTAATTTTGTTGTTGGAAGTTGGGGAAAGACAGCTAAATTTAAAACAGTCCTCAAACTGGTATTTAGGGTAACAGCAATTATCTGAGTTATTTGGTCTACTTATTTTCAGTGCTAGAGAAAAAATCTACTTTGAGCTGAACAACTATATGTTTCCATTTAATCCTAGAATACCACCAAATGAAAGACAGGTAGTTTTTTTCTGGGCAAGAATATTTAATAAGCAGTGTTATTTACTCCTTTTGCATCATACCAGGAAGCACATAATGTCTACTTGTCTCCTTTTGTGATGTTATATTGATGCATTCATTATAAAGGTATCCGCAAGCAAAAAAGAAAAAAGGAAAAATAGATTAAGGGGAATACACAGATTAAAAACAATTTAAGAGACATGTAATCCAATGGACCTTGTCTGCTGATTTGAACCAACTATAAAAAATATTTATGAGACAATATGGGAAATGTAAACATTGCTTGGGTACTTGATATTAAGAAATAATGACATACAACACCAGAGTCCAGGGTTTGATCTCTGTACCAGCCAGCCATTCAAAAAAAAAATAACAATGTAGTATAGACATGATATTGGTGGTCTGCTTATGTGTAAAAAAATGGGGGAGTTTTCATCCTTCAGAGATACATGAAGGGGAATTATGAATGAGATATATCTGGAATTTGCTTTAAAATAATCTAGAGCTTGGGTAGAGGGGGTGGGGAGTTGATGAGTACATGTAACTATTTTTAAAAGTTTGAAATTATCTATAATAAAAAAGAAAAAAAATTCAGATGTTTAAATAACTAAATTCCTTTTTTTTTTTTTCCTTTTTGTCTTTTTTCGTGACCAGCAACAGATCGCAACCCTCAGTGTCGCGCCCGTACCGGACTGGGACCGGCAACGGAATCGCAACCCTCGGTGTTGCGCCTGCACCTCGCTCAGCCATTGAGCGGCTGGTCTGTATGTGGGATCTGAACCCTCGGCAGGAGCGCCGCCGCGCTCCCAAGCGGCGCACTGTAGTAGTGCGCCACCGGGCTGGCCCTAAATAACTAAATTCCAAATGTAATAAATAATTACATGTGAAACATGAAAACACAAAATAGAAGAAATTAGAACCCTCGGCAGGAGCGCCGCCGCGCTCCCAAGCGGCGCACTGTAGTAGTGCGCCACCGGGCTGGCCCTAAATAACTAAATTCCAAATGTAATAAATAATTACATGTGAAACATGAAAACACAAAATAGAAGAAATTATAGGTTAACATTTATATAAACTTAGGTTAGGGACAGCATGAGCCAAGGGCAGATATTATAACTGAAAGAAATCAATTGATTTGAACATGTACAAAATGAAAACTTCTATAAAAAGTACCATAAGTAAAGCCAAAAGATAAACTGAAAAATACTTGCATCATATGATCAAAGGCAAAAACTTTCCTGTATGTTTTTTTTTTGGCGGCTGGCCAGTACAGGCATCTGAACACATGACCTTGGTATTACAAGGCTGCACTCTATCCAACTGAGCTAAGTGGCCAGCCAAAAAATTTCCTCATAGAAAAAAAGTTGTTGCAAATTAATATGAAAATACCAAACTACCTCAGAAAATAAAAATTGCTAAGGATATAAACAAATTTTAAAAGAAATGCATATTAAATAGATATTATAGCACTAATCGTAACACTGAGAAGATGGAAACGTGAATAGGTAACCAACTGAAATAAATTATGGTACATATATCTATACACAATATTAAGCACATGGTGAGTATACCTTATCTGACATGCTTGAGACCAGAAGTGTTTCAGAATTCAAATTTTTTCAGATTTTGAAATATTTGCAGAATACACACTGGTTGAGCACCCCTAATCTGAAAATTCAAAATCTGAAATGCTGAAATGAGCATTTCTTTTTTTTTCCACCCACTTCTTTTTCTTTACCTTTTTTCTTTTTTGTAGATATGATGGCTAGAAATGAGCATTTCCTTTGAGCATCATGTTGGTGCTCAAAAAGTTTCAGATTTTAGAACATTTCAGACTTTCAGATTACGCATGCTCAATCTGTAGCAGTTCAAAATGACAGCAGAGAACTGTGTTTAGTGCTACGGAATATGCATCCATAAAGATAACATGTATTTTATCAAAAATTTTTTTTATTGATAGGAGTATGAAAAGAATATTGTCTGCTTGAGATTTTAAGTACTTAAAATTTTCCTTTAACTATATTTGCTTTTTATGTAATGAATTATTTTTGAAATAACAGAAAGTCTTAAAAAATTAGCCCCAGCAATAAAAATATAAACAGATTAAAAATTTCTATCAGCTCCTTCAACAGGAAGATAGGAGGGAAAAATTCCTATCAGCAACATTTTCTTTCCTTCTCCAATTCTTTGGAATTCAAAGTTACTAATTATCTTTAATCAAATATTTTTGAGCCAAATATATATAAAAAAGCGGATGCATATATATTTCATTTTAAAGTGTTGAAAAAAACCCCTGAAGTAAGATGACATAAAAAAAAAAAAAAAAACTGAAAATATTTATCAGGACAGAAAGGCAAAACCTTACCATAATTACTCATAATTATTTGAATTATAAAGTAAATGAACACACACACTTCAATTGTGTAATAGCAGTGATTTGTCTTTAAGGTCTTAGGTCAATAATGTATTTAATCTACATTATTTGGACTTTGGAAAGACAATATCATAAAATTGTCTTAAAACACTACATGTTAGGCCATCATTAATATATTGGGTAAGGATAAATATGGTAACATTCTTTACTCTTACTACATTATCATACTATTATCACACTTGTTATCTATCAAATTTTAGTTTGAAGTCAATTCACTTATCAATATCAAATTCTACTTTATTGTACAATGTACAGCTTGGCAATTTTCAATTACACTGTAAAACTAAACAAAAGCAAAATCCTTAGGAAAAATGTATTTTTCTTTTTTCTTTCCAAGAAAAAAAAAAAGTTGGGACTACGCAGTTGACAGGGTTCTGGTCAAACCTATTCTAATGAATAAACTTGTCAAAACATCTTCACCTTTAAAAAAATGGAACATGGCTATAAATCTGTCATTTTTGCTTTACTCAATTCTTTCCAAAAAAATTTATTAAAATTATTAAGGAAATAAAATGGGGATTGAAGAAAATACTTGCAATAAAAAGAATAAACATTAACACTGGCTAATGCCACTGGAAGGGGTATACTCCATATACTGTTGATAAAAATTATAGAAACCTGTTGGTGGTTTTGACTAAGTCTCATAATATCAAAAATTAAGAGTTGGTTCCACGAACTGTTGACAGTAGTCTGTTTGAAGGCAACTTACTCATCAACACAAGGATTCCTCTGACCTTTTTTATCTGTCAGATTCTGCATCATTCAGCTTATTAGTTGGGAGTATACAACTAATGAAAGCCGAAACTAGACAGCAACATTAACAATAGTTTACTGATGTTTCCCCTGCAAATCTCACATTTTCCAATAACAGAATTTTGTATGGAGTTACAGTTCAAAAGGCTAATTCAAAAGGATGTTTTACTGAAAATCCTATAATCACAGTACTTTCACACAAAAAGTTGTCTAGTAACATAAATTGCCTCTGCATCAGTTCCACAAACAAGACAAGGACCTAAAACATCCAAACTGTTCACAGATAGAGTCCTACTAGGAAGCAAGCTTGTGATTTCAATACGGTCTTTTGTAGTATCAGTGCTGAGCCAGGAACTTATAAGAGACTGTTGAACGTTAGCCTGGTTACTAATGCTGTGAGACAAAAAAGTACTAGTTCTTCCTCCTGGCAGAAAAAAACAAAAGGGAAAAAAACCTTTCAAGATTAATTTTATATTAGTAAACGTCCAAACTTCTACTGGTATTTTAGAGAGAAGATGATTTCAACTTCTTTAATTCTAAGAATAACAGACTTATAATTCATGATCACATATCACCATTTTTGATCAAAGGCTTATTCAGTGATATTAAACACTCAAATTTCCATGGGATAATATGAATACCAAACTTGAAGTCTTCAGGCAAAGTAGATTTAATTTTTTGTTTGGTTGTTGGTGACTGGCAAGTACAGGGATCTGAACCCGTGACCAGCGCCACACTCTCCCAAGTGAGCTAACCGGCCAGCCAAACATTTAATTTGATCCTGTCTTTCTTTTCATCTTTTAGTGGAAAGTCTCAGAAAGGTAGCAAAATGGCCAGCAGTAGGTAAAAAAAAAAAAAAAAAAAAGAGAGACCAAAAATGTAGATGAAACACAAAAATGTAAACTCTTGGGCAATAAAGAAATCATGATCATGAGAAAGAATTTCTGAACATATTTCTAAATGAATATTTCTTAAAATATATTTCTAAACATGTATCTACACATCTAAAAATATAATCTTCTGGCTTCTTACCCTTTTTAAATAAATGTTCTTAAAAATAGAATTTTAGAACATTACTAGATTATAAACTTTTTATCCTGAACAGTGCTCTGAATTTAATACAGAATTAATTGAAGCAGAGGCAGTATATTTCAATTTTAGCCATTATTTGTAATCTTTCCTCTCAATTTTCTGTCAGATCAAATAAGGACAGATTTCATTCACTCAACAAATGGCTGAGCAACTATTACATGCCAGGCTCTGGGCTAAGTGCTGGGGATACAAGATGAAGTCCTTCATGTCTTGAAGCTTAAAGACTAGTAGGCTTAAATCTTGCTTATCTTTTTAAGTCCACCTCAAGTTCCTTCTCTAAGAAACATTTTTTAAAAAATTTTATTTCTTTATTTTTTATTCTTCTAAGAAACTTTTGAAGACAACTCTACTTTATGTTTCTCTCTTCCTTCCTGGAACCCTCAGTACTGTATGAACCATTAATTTACTATCTTGTAATATACCTTTTGTTGTTTTTGGCAGCCGGCTGGTACAGGGATGGAACTCTGGACCTTGGTATTATCAGCACCACGCTCTAACCAACTGAGCTAACTGGCCAGCCCTACCCTTATAACATTTCGTATATCATGATTTAACTTTCAATGCTCCTTCCCCATAGCTAAATTAAGTATTTCTTAAGGGCAGGTTGCATATTTTATATTTGTTTTATTTTTCCACAGTGTCTAGTACTGTGCCTTGCAACAGTAGACATGGAATATAGTGAATTGTTTTAGTACCAGTCTAACCTAGGTTCCTTAATCAGTAAAATTTCAAATGCAAGATAGTGGGGGTAGGGGAGGAAGGAAGTAAAAACCACGTACTTAGTTAATCCTTAGATAAAACTGTTAGTTTCTCCATAAATGAAGTCAGCAGACATGCACACATGACATGTCCACACATTCCATACTTCTCCAGTACTTTTCTGGAGAAGTTTTAGAATTTTTCCCCCATGGTTTTTCTGTTTATCTTTTACTGCTCCAATACTTGACACTGGTTTTAAATAATGTGAAAATTAACATATTAGAACCACTGTGGTAAGACTCCTTCCTGGTCTCCTTGCTTCTGAGTTTCTCATCCCTCCTCCTGAAGTCTATTTTCCAGAGCAGCCAGTGATTCTTTGGAAACATAGATCATGCCGCCCCCTTGCTCAAAATTCTCTGATGGACTCCTATCACACTTTGCTAGAGTAGCTCCCCTCACCGCCACCATTATTGCTTATCTTCCTACTCTGCTTTACTGTTCTTCACAGTAATTATCCATGTATTCGGCCCAGTTATTTTCCTTTTTGCTTTCAGTCCCTTTTCCCAGTTTTCTGTGCTCCACTATGGACTGCAGGGAGTAGGAGTCTGCAAACTCCACTTTCCAGGCTCCTTTGCCATCTGCTGTCCAGATGGGCCCTGCCAAGGAGGTACTACTGGTGGGTGACAGGAAGGCGGAGGAGGAGAGAAGCAGCTCCCTTCCTGCTCCAGGTTTCTGGCAACAACAACACTGGCAATGGTTCCAGCCTGGTTGAGGTGGTAACTTCTCTACTCATCCAGAACCAACTTTGACAGCATTTCCAACAGTGCAGCAGCAGAGGAGAGGTGTTAACACTTGATTTCTGGGTATTATCCTTTCTTCCTTTGGGTTCTCTCCCTACCCCTCCTATTCCCTTTTGTTTTTCCAGCCCTTCTAACACATATGAAACCAATTCCTTCTAAATCCAGGGTAGTTTCTGATTTTCTGACTGGACTCTTATGCTATATTATCTATTTCTTAACTGTGTGCTAGAATATTTGCTGTATGTGTGTAGTGACTTTTTGTTCTGCTCACTGTTGTTGGCCTCAACACCTAGAAGAATGCCTACCACATGGTAAGCATTCAACAAACATTTCTTTCTTTCTTTTTTTTTTTTTGTGATCAGTAAGGGGATCGTAACCCTTGGCTTGGTGTTGCCCGCACCGCACTCAGCCAGTGAGCGCACCGGCCATCCCCATATAGGATCTGAACCCGCGGCCTCAGCACTCCCAGCGTCACACTCTCCTGAGTGAGCCCCGGGGTCGGCCCCAACAAACATTTCTGAATGAAGAAACAAATGAACTTTGGAACTACAGACAAACCCTCAAAGATAGAAAGCTTGAAAATGCAAAAGAAAAAAAACCCACTTAATTACTAGTGTGTAGTTTCTGACTGACCTTTACTTACTGCTGACTTTATTCAGGAGATAGGGCCTTTTAAGCTGAGAAGAAATCAAAAACCTTAATATGTAAAACTTCTACTTTCTTCTTGCCATACACCCTGCCTTGGCAATGCGATATAAAAGAGTTACTAGTGCCTTACGGCGTGAGGGCCCAGGTCAATGGTACTCACAAAGAACTTTCGCTGTCTGAAGTGAGCCAGCTTATAGCATTGCTGTCATCAACATTACAGTAGTAAGTAGCTGACAGCAAGATTCCAAGCACTAAGATACTAGAATTTACCCTGACGAAGGAGGATGGAAACATTTTGTCATCCTCTAATGTTAAAAATATAAAACTGTTTAATTTGGTATTTAAAAGTATAACTAAATTATACACAAGAACCTTCATTAAAATAGTTTACCTTGGTGAAAGAGTGATGACTTTTCAGGTACATCTGTGGAGGCATCCCAATGCCAGAGGGATCCATCTTCGGAACAAGTAAATAGATGGTCTGGGTTGGATGGGTGAAAGTGAACTTCCCACACTAAGAGATAAGAACGGAGAAGCTTATTTCTGTGCAGATTAGCTGAAAAAAAAACATTAAAAACCTTTCTGTAGGCATCATCTTCCATTAACCTCCATCACATACCTTCAAATCTCAAGTCTGTGATAAAATCAAAAGCTTCAGAATTAAAAAAAAGACAAAATATTACTAAGGGCTATAACATGTAGATAAGAAAAAGAAGATAAGAAAATCTACTTGTGTATTGGGCCAGAAAAATGAATAAAATAATTGCTAAATCATTTTTATGAAAAAGAATGATCATGGGATAATATTGAAAATAAATATTTTTTAAATTGGTAAGTTCTCTTATTTTCAGTTCCTATGTCATTAATATATGAAGGTTATATTATTTGAAAGACTGAGAGAGAAGACCATAAAAGGAATATACAAATGAATTTCTAACAGGCAGAATCCAATATTGGCATATGCCAAGACTCTGGATACTTCTGGTCTCTATCACAGAAATACCAATTAGGTCCCAGCAAACCACAACTTAGAAATGTTCCAAGAATTTGGATGCCCCTCAGCTCTAAACTTGAAGGGATCTTTGTATGTTCATAGACATGTGGGAGTCAATTTGTAGCTAGGACTCCTTAGGAAGTTACCTGCAGTGTGTAGATGATAAAATGGGTAGATTATGAACAAAGGTTCTATGAGTTGAACTAGGTGTCCTAAAGAATTAGTAAAGAAAGTGCGTAAAGTGTGGCATAAAAAGTTAATGACACAAGTTTGCAAGGTGGCCATCTTCATTTTGACAGTTACTACAATTAAGTATCATGCCACAAAACATAAAAAAGTCACCTTCCTCAGTAGAAGAATGTGTTCTGTGTGAGTCCCTGTAAAGCACATTCTTACTGTTTCATTAAAACAAAGTAAAATGAAACTATCTGTAGAGCCATAGCAGATTGCCCAAATCTAGTTTTTAAGTATTTACTTTCAAATTAGAAAACAAACCTCTATTAAACATCTCATTTCATTTCCAGCCAGGATTCCGGATAAACACAAACCACTGCATTTCTGTGACTTGCTTAACAATATAGGTTGGCAATTAAAAAGGTGCTATTAAGAAGAGATCTGAAGGGGCTGGCCCGGTGGCGCACTGCGCTAGTGCGCCGCTTGGGAAGCGCGGTTGCGCTCCCGCCGAGGGTTCGGATCCCACATACGGACCGGTTCCCGCTCACTGGCTGAGCGAGGCGCGGGGGCAACACCGAGGGTTGCGATCCCGTTGCCGGTCCCGGTCCGGTACGGGGGCGACACTGAGGGTTGCGATCCGTTGCCGGACACAGAAAAAGACAAAAAAAAAAAAAAAGAAGAGATCTGAAAGTTTATAATTCTACCAATGAGTTAGCCAACATCAGTAGCTATGAGGGCACACCTTATTCCTCTTTTATCCATTTTATTTCTGGGCAGATCTATACCCAGGAGGGGCAAACACTTTTTTATCTTTTTATTTGCTTCTTGAATATAATCTTAAAGTCATTTGTCTTTCTACAATAATAATGTGAAAGCAACTTACTTAAACAAAGAAGTTGCAATATTGATTCAATGTATGCTTTCTTGTACTTTTAGTCTAGCAAGGTTTAATACAAACTTCTTTGAAATCAGAAATTTAAAAATATAATCCATTCTGGCATGTTATCAAAGACAGAATGATAAAATAAAAATTTCTGTCCGGCCAAAGAATGTCCACCAAACACCAAAAGACAAATAGAAAAAAAAAGACAACAGCATATAATATATTGTTTTTGTTAAAAAATGATGCAATAATAAATCGAGGAACACAACAGATTATCAAATATGAAACAAACAGCCTGCATCTGCATAGGAAAAGGGCATTCTCACACACTTCAATATGGCAATGTAAATTGGTGTTATTTTTATGCAGAACTATCTGACAACATGAATTACAGCTTCAAAATTATGCAAAACTTTTGGCCTATAAATTCTACTTAAAAAAAATTATCCTGAGAAAATAAGAGAATAAAGATGAATATCTAAGAATATCCACTATGGTTTTGGATATAACAATGAAACATGTTAAAGGATTTAACTGTCAAATAAAAAGGGATGAGTTAATTATTTACATTTATACAATTCAGCCATTAAAAGCTATTAGGTAAAATGATCCATATGTATCATTACGGAAAGGTGCTTATGTCATACAACTTACCCAATAAAAACTTCCTCTATTTTCACAATACTTACTTTCAGCTTCATGAGCCTTCAGCAGAGATACAGGCATAGTACCTTGTCTAACATCCCAAATACTCAACATTCCATCTTGGCCACCAGTAGCTACAACATGCTGCTGGCTGGGATGTCTGTCAACACAGTGGAGTGGCACTCGGTCACCAGTCCTTTTGTGGGAGATACAATGACATCAGATATGTGGTAAAGTATGATTTAACTTTGCATAACCCAAGAAACACATTTTACTCTAGTAGTTAAGTGCCAACTTTGTGGCTGGAGCTACGGTTGAATCTTAGTGATGCTAAAAATTAAACTAGATGAAATATATTTCTAAATAGTAAAAAAAATTTTGGAATTAAAGAACAAAATTATTCATTCTCTATTCAATTTGGAGACATGGGAAGCAAGATAATCTGATGGTAAGATACACAAAACACATTTCCATTTTTTAGATTTAAAAAAAAGATCATATATCAAATATACCAAATATTCTTTACTACTATCTTATTTAATGCTTAATTTATATAACTATTTTTTTAGTTTGACACATTCTATTTTCTTAAGAGAGAAGAAAAAGGGGGACTTCTGTTAAGAAAAATTATTTTGGATTGTATTTTCCCCTAATCACATCTACAGCATATTTTATCCACTATCAATACAATTTGATAAGCAGAAAGAGGTTCTCTATTAAATAACATAAACTTCAAAGAGATAAATGCTTTGAATCAATACAACAAATATTTACTGAATGAAGCATTGGCAGTAGTGAGCCCATCAAGTTACAAGTGCCCTATCTAATTTAATCAGGGATTACTCTCTTAAAATGCAATTAAAATATAATATGACTTAGTTGGTTGCTATAAACAATTGAACAAATTAATTTTGCATCACACTACTGAAATTGCAAATCAAAACTTACAGTGACAATATCTGAGAGGGCTCATTTCCTTGTTGTCTGAAATCCCATATTTTTAACTGTCCAATTGAATTTACCGTAAGAATCTCAGGAGTTCGAAGGAAGGTTACAGCATGGAGTGTACTGCTATCTGCATTATCTATAAATTTAAAAATGATAGTGTTAAGGGGTCACTTTTTTCTAAGAATATTTTAAATCACATTTCTTTTATTGATTGAAATATTACAAATGAAATTTAGTCACAATTTAATTTCTATAAAAAAGTGCATGGTAATGTACATATTTAAATGGACTTTCCTCTGATAGAAAAATATCACTCACAGGACATCTGAACTGTTTTCTAAATGGAGGACTGGGTTTTCACATATTCTTCTTTCTGTATTTTCTCTTAAAATTGTTACCCTGCATTTCTGAGATAGTTGTTCAAGCTCCTCTAAATCCAATTTTATTTCCCACTAGTCCTTGACCCAGAACTTCCATTCTTTTGGGCCAAAACCCAATGCTTCCTGCAGAGCTCACCCTAACCTTGTATAATTCTGTGGACTCATGTCAAGTCTATTCATCTTTGCCCTCATGAACTCTCTTCTTCTCCATGAAGTCCTTCCTGATTGTTATAATGGCCCTTTTCTTTGATTTTCTAGAGTATTTAGAACTTATGCCACATAACATATACTTATAAAGTTTTGTTTTCTGCCACTCCACATTGTCACAAGGCAATGATCCACAACAATTAAACAAGTGATGTAACTCAGAACTAAAAATCATAATAAATAACACAAAAGCTGATTCATGGGCTCAGTCCCTAGAGATTCTGATCCAAGAGGTCTAGGGTGGCAGACTGTTAAAAATCTCCTCAGGCAAGTCTGTGTGAAGCTAGATGAGAACCACTACACCAGAATAATCCTTCTAGGTCTGGCCGGTTGGCTCACTTGGTTAGAGCGTGGTGCTGATAACACCAAGGTCAAGAGTTCGGAATCCCATATCCAGCAGCCACCAAAAAAAAAAAAAAAAAAAAAAAAGACTAGAATAATCCCAAAATATGACATGGAGTATATTACTCCCTTGCTCAAAACTCTCAATTGCTCCTTAGTTTTACACCTAAAAAATGTAAACTCTGTGGTTTTGCACTGAGACAGTCTCTTTGCAACCTGGCCCAAATTTACCTTTCTTGCTTCATCTTTCATCTCTCCTATATAAACATCTAAAGTCAGGTCAAACTATACTTTTTGTTCTTCACTATATGGTTTTATCCTGCCTCTGTATTATTCCCTTTGTCTGGTGTGTCATCTTTTATTATTACTTGTGGTCTAGAATGTAAATTAAATTAATTGCCACCTGCTCCCCAATTCTCTACCTGATAATCCCTTCTAGCCCCACAAAAAAGGTTCTCTCTCAATATGAATGTAGTTGGTCATTTATATTGGCCTCATGAACATACTGTCTTGACGAAAGGATACTGCCTTGCATATTTTTATATCACTCAAACACTTAGCATTGTGGTTACTTAGCATATGATAAATGCTCAATCACTATGTGATAGATGAAAGAAATATAATAGTTTTTCTTACTTATAGTTCTTACAGCTTCCTTGTGATCAGCTCTGAAGAGATTTATTCGACCATCCTCTCCAACGGTAACAATTTCTGGGTTATCGCATACAATACCTGTACATGGTGCACTGCTATAGGAAGGACTACCAGGACCTGTGTGGTAGTGAGCTGTTGTCCACTGCTGGTTGACTGACAGAGTCTAGTTGTTAGAAATGAGGACACTATTAATCAAAATTCTAATGAACTAGCACTTTTCCCCAACAAGAGTATTTTTAAATGCTGTTTCACACCCCTCTAGGAAAAAAAATATCTTTTTCCTTTGTACTTTAAAGTACTGAAGTCCAGAAAGTACCTCCATCAAAGTTCTATGTACACTGAATTAGATTCAAAAGGAATGTTGTTCAATAAAGTCCCATATTTATCTCAAGCTACATTTCCTTGTTGTCTGAAATCCCATATTTTTAACTGTCCAATTGAATTTACCGTAAGAATCTCAGGAGTTCGAAGGAAGGTTACAGCATGGAGTGTACTGCTATCTGCATTATCTATAAATTTAAAAATGATAGTGTTAAGGGGTCACTTTTTTCTAAGAATATTTTAAATCACATTTCTTTTATTGATTGAAATATTACAAATGAAATTTAGTCACAATTTAATTTCTATAAAAAAGTGCATGGTAATGTACATATTTAAATGGACTTTCCTCTGATAGAAAAATATCACTCACAGGACATCTGAACTGTTTTCTAAATGGAGGACTGGGTTTTCACATATTCTTCTTTCTGTATTTTCTCTTAAAATTGTTACCCTGCATTTCTGAGATAGTTGTTCATTTTTTTTTTAAAGATGACCGGTAAGGGGATCTTAACCCTTGACTTGGTGTTATCAGCACCACGCTCACCCAGTGAGCAAACCGGCCATCCATATATGGGATCCGAACCCGTGGCCTTGGTGTTATCAGCACCGCACTCTCTCGAGTGAGCCACAGGCCGGCCCCAAATGCAACTCTCTAAATTATGGGAGTGAGCCAACATCTAAGAAATAAATCTCTATAGTTTTTTCTAAATGAATCCCTTAAGAAAAATACTTAACACAATCTGGGCCTCATACTTACTAGGCATACCTATTAAGAAGGTGACCTTTATTCATCCCAAAACATAAATAAGCACTCTCTTCCAGAGACTTAAAACTGTGTTACTACAAGTGGGGCTGCTTTAAAGAACTGCCCTCACCGTGTTATCTGAAAGTCAGCACTCTCAAGCTTGAGCACACAAGAAAACCACTGAAAAAAGGTCAAGTCCTCACATAGTGGATCCTCTCTTATTAAGACCTGGGTTCTATCCACAAAAGCAAAATAACTGTTCCTGTTCTCCATCATGATATGAGCTAGAAGGTGCTCTATCTTCTTTGCAGGAAAAGCACCTGCCAGAATATATTGTCAGCTCTAAACTAACAGAATTTATTTAAGGAATATCTAATTTCAATAAAAGCACACACAAACAAGGTTCTAGAATTAATCTACCAAAAAGTGGGTAATGTAACAGTGATATTTTTCCCCTTCATGTTTTAAGACTATAAAACTTTACTATTTGTGTAATTATTAAGCACAGTCTTTAAACCTTCCTAAAAATAATTATAATACAAATTCACCTTCAAACAAAAATTCTTTACCTGGTTATTTGGATGGTGAAGGAAAATTGTTACACATCCTGTTGATGAAGCAGCTACAATTCTTTCCTGGTCAAAAAACTAAATGGAAAATTGCTGCTTGTTATAGATTCAAAAATATTAGTAGGTAGGAAGCCCATTTATTTAACTCAATTTGTAAACTATTTTAAAAGGCAAAAAGTCTACAAATGCTAAGCAAATAAAATGTTACTAGATTTGAAAGTGAAAACCACTATACAAATAAAAGTATTTTCATGAAGAATAAATAATAGTCATTTTTTCCTAAAATCATTCACCTATAGTTGATTTAATTTTACATAACCACAGTAAAGCTTTAGAGAAATATCATTCCTGAGGCTAGGCAGCTTTCTACACAATAAAATACAGGGCCTCTAAAGTCATACAGATCAGGATTTGAAAACTTAATCTCATCCTACTTACTGGTTTTGAGATGTTGGTCATGTTAAGTTCTCTAAATCTTGATAAAACTCTAAAATGGGAGTACTAAACCCTTCTTGGGAGTTGTTATGAGAATTCAAAAAACAAAACCATGTAAACCGCCCTGAACAGTATTCGTCATAGTACATGCTCAAAAAATATTAGTCTTGGTTTATGGTAGTATATGATAAACAGAGATAACAATATTTGATTCACAGACATACACTGAAAATTAAACTAACTTATGTGAAGTTTCCAGAACAGTGCTTGGCACATACAGATGGCCAATTAATAAACTATGGTTTAATCTAATTCCCTGTCCCGGTTGATATTGGGCAAATCATAACTTATAGAGAATACAGTTTCCTTGAAACCAGGCATGACACTAGGCAAACTTTAAGGTCCTCTGCATCTCTAAATGTATTATACTCAGTTCTTAAATAGTTAGTTTTTGAATACTACATAGATTTACCTGTAAATCCATTACATCACCATGGTGTCTGATATCACATAATAACTGATGATCTCCTTCAAACCCTCCATCAGAGTCCAAGTTTCCAAAATCTCCAATAGACCACAGTGAAACATAATTTTCCTGTAAAGGAGAAAGTTTTACCTTGAGATGATATAAACGTCAACTTTCGGAAAGTAAAATTTGTATCGTCTTCAGGCGACCTTGCTTCAAATGCATCTGAAGACACAAATGGGTCTTCAGGCACGACATCGCTGACCGTGAGCTACAGTGCAACCATGTCCCAGAAGTGGGGTGGTGGAACGGAGAAGGGCTAGAGGAGCCAGAAGCTGAGCTGGCGCGCGGACGGCGAGGGCGTGGTTCCTGGAAAAGGAGAGAGGGAGGAGGCAGGGGCTCCGCGCCACGGGAGAGGGGGTACCTCATTGTCCCAAGAGCCGGTAGCGAAGGTCTCCGCGGTCTGCAGGCTCCCCGGAGGCACCGGTCGCCAGCGGGTTTTGCTTATTTTCTGAGACACAAACTTCGCATAAATTTCCCCCATGCCAAAATCAACCGCAGCAGACACAGCCAGAAGCACAACGCGTGCCTCTTTGCCCCGCCCCTTCCGGCGAAGCTCTGATTGGATGGGACCTCACGAAGGAGACGGTGGCTGCGGAGAGTCAATTCTCGTCAATGGGTGGTGCCGGTGCCGCCAGCCCCCAACCGGAGGAATTTGCGACACCTGTCCTCAGCTGTTTGGAACAGAGGAAAGAACGCCTTGGACCTTGTGTAGTAGGACCTGTTCCTAATCTGCAAACTCAGTTTGGGAACACTGAGATAATGTAATTGTGCAATGTGAAACAAGTTTAAGAGCAAAAATAAAGTAAAATCTAATGCAGGAGAAACTACCTTATAGCCACACCTAACCATTCAGTTGCATTTCACTGCGCATAGAAACGATTCAAAATCCTTAAGTTCTCATGGAAATACTTCGACTAACATACCAATTTATTATCCTAAACCTCCCCCTCTTTGTCCTCCAAACAAATCCTTTGCTTCATAGTTGTTAAAACACATTGTCAGGGCCTGGAGTTGGAATTCTGGACTCCAATTTTAGTTTCGATGCCCACCTTCTAGCTGTATAAACTTGGTCAATTCACTTAGGAATACAATTAAGTATGACTTTGTTAATATCTAATATCAACGGCCCAAGAATCAATGCTGTAAGTTCCTTCTGTGCTTTAGTTACATCTATATAATATCCTTCCATTCCTCTTTACTTCTCAGAATCCTGCCCATTCTTCAAGGATAAGTTCCTTTCTGTGCCTTTTCCTGATGCCCCCAGTCCATGATCTAAATAAACACAGTACTTGATATCTAGAACACTAAAGGCACTTATATTTCACCCTCTGATAGTTTTCCTTTGACACAGATCCCCCAATTAGAATGCAAAAGCTACTGGGTACAAGAAGCATGGCTTATTCATCTTTTTAAAATATCTCCTTTACACTGTAGGTATTCATAACTGTATGTTGGCTGTTTCTTCAAAATCGGCCACGGTGTTGCTGTTTTTATCTGATATTGGTAATCCTACTTCATAGCGACAGCCTATGGAAGCACTGCACGTAGATGCAATCCGACTAGGTTAGCTTTAGAGAGTTATCGGGTTCCTATTAAAGACTTCACTTTTTTTCCACTCAGAAGACCATCAGAAAACTGTAGAGAGATGAAACAGAAATTAAATGGATTAGAGTTCCAGACCGACAGTTTTATTCCTAATATTGAAGTAAAGAACACAGTTTCGTGCATAGTTCATTTATGGTCACAGAATCCCAGAAAATAGGTACTTATATTTCGGATTGGAAGCAGGCTGAGCGATCCAGCTGACAAAATCTGGTTAAGAACTAGAATTTGAAAATTGCTGCTGACGTCGTAGCATAGTTGTCTTCATATAGCTTTGTTTCCTTCCTAAATGTTTACCGGACACATTGATGGCTGGATTCCGTCAGTCTCCGTTCTAACTAGGAGTCAGCAATTTGGATGCGACAGGCCATATTCCCTGCCAACTTCTCACTCACGATCTTGCTGAGCTGATACTAATAAACTGGTGCCCAGTCTAACGGTGAAATATGTGTGAGGCTTAATTAGCTGAAAACGCACACTTGCGTTAGGGGAATAACATTCACCATACGATAGTGTGGTATTTTTTAACCCGCTGTGGCTCTTCGTTTGTATTGCTCTAAATGAACAAAGCATTCGCCACCCCCCGCCCCATGTCACGGTACACTTCTACTCTGTGAATATGCGCTTAATTGTTGAGAAAAAACCTGGGTCCCGAAGTCTCTGCTTAACCCAACAGTGACGTGCTTGTCACAAGCCAGAGGCTGGTGTACTCGGTCAAGAGACGCCTTTGCTTTGGGTTTTCCTAAGACTGTTGTTATTCTTCACTCAGGCTCCACCGTAGGGAGCCTTGGCTCTAACCCACCTAAACATTAGTCAGCCGGGTTCAGCGAGGCAGGAGGGAGGAAGCCCCCCGTCTAACAATCTGGACAGCTATAGGAGCAGACCCGCCGCTCGCGACAGCTGACCCAGCGGCGATTGCGTAGCTACCAGCAGCGGCAACACAGATCAGCCCCGCCATCCCGCCGCGCTCGGAGACCGTAGCCGTAGCCAGGAACGCGGCAGACAGCGCCGGAGGTCGCCCGGCCTGGACGCAGGGCGAAGGCGGTGCGCATTCCGTGGCCTCGAAAGGGGCACGCGGCGCGGCGGCGGCACCGACTCAGCGCCGCCTCCA